AACAATCTTTCCTTCAAAAGCCACTTTTCTAGCATTTGTAAAATTGCATTTTTCCATCTCAAAAATATATCTAAATTGCGACCTATGCTCTTAATATCAAATGCAGAAATGTTAATTCATGCGTTCATGACCTCAAGGTAAGATTATTGTAATGCTTTATTGGGTGGTTGTTCTGCATGCTTAATAAACAAACTCCAGCTGGTCCAAAATGCAGCAGCTAGAGTTCTTACTAGAACCAGGAAGTATTAGCTCGGTTCTGTCAACACTGCACTGGCTCCCTATTAAACATTGTATAGATTTTAAAATCCTGCTAATTATTTATAAAGCCCTGAATGGTTTAGCACCTCAGTACTTGAGCGAGCTCATATCGCATTATAAACACTGCACTGGCTCCCTATTAAACATCGTATTGATTTTAAAATCCTGCTAATTACTTATAAAGCCCTGAATGGTTTAGCACCTCAGTACTTGAGCAAGCTCTTATCGTATTATAGTCCTCCACATCTGCTGCGCTCTCAAAACTCTGGCAATTTGATAATACCTAGAATATCAAAATCAACTGCGGGCGGCAGATCCTTTTCCTATTTAGCGCCCAAACTGTGGAATAATCTACATAACACTGTTCGGGAGGCAGACACACTCTGTCAGTTTAAATCTAGATTAAAGACCTATCTCTTTAACCTGGCTTACACATAACACACTTACACATTTCCATTACTCAAATCCGTTTATGGATAGTTAGGCTGCATTTATTAGGTCAACCGGAACTGGGAACACTTCCAATAATACACGATGTACTTGTTACATCGTAAAAAGAATGGCATCTACGCTAATATTAGTCTGTTTTTTTCTTATTCCGAGGTCACCGTAGCCACCAGATCCAGTCCGTATCCAGCCCAGATGGTGGATCAGCACCTAGAGACGACCTCTACAGCCCTGAATTTCAGCGGAGACCAGGACAACTAGATGAGCCCCAGAGACAGATCCCCAGTGAAGACCTTGTCTCCTAGACGGTCATCGGGTCAATACCATGGAACCAGATAAGTCCTCTGCACAATCTAACTTTGTTGCAGCATGGATCAACCTGCTGGTTCGTCTGGGCAGAGGAGAACTGGCCCCCCGACTGAGCCTGGTCTCTCACAAGGTTTTTTTCTCCATTCTGTTACCAATGGAGCTTTGGTTGCTTGCCGCTGTGGCCTCTGGCTTGTTTAGTTGGGAACACTTCATTTTCAGCGATATCGTCGACTTGATTGCACAGATACTATTTAAACTGAACTGAGCAGGATGATGACATCACTGAATTAAATGATGAAAATTTAGATTGTTAAGTAAGGCTAACTAATGTTAGCTTGCTAATTGGTTACCATGAAAACACAAGGAAAGATTACAAACCTATTGTCCAACAAAAGTATAATGATATGTTTTAGTCCAAATTCACTTCACAACATCAGTCGAGTCTTTGAAATAACTTATTTTTGTGATCTGACATGGTTTCTTTAAACAGAATGAGGCCGAAATCATGCCACTTTATATTATTCTATACAATGATAAAGGCTATGTTGATTAGCATTGCATTTTAAATATACTTTATTCTTATAAAAATACCTTAGGTGGCTTGAAGAGCACAGACAAAACCATATTGTCAGACTCTGTTCCGTGTTTTGTGTGTTTTGCTCCCCAAGTGTTTCCTTCTGCCCTTATTTGGTTCTTCATGTTCCTGTTCTAATTATGTTTATTGTTTCATTAGTTCCAGGTGTGTCTCGTCATCCCCACCTCTAGTCCTGTGTATTTATAGTGAGCCCTGTTCTAAGTTTGGTGGTCTGGTATTGTGAATGTCAACCTTCTCAGCTATGTGTGTTTTCCTGGTTTCCTTGATTTCATTAAAATCTCCTTGTTGATGTACTCCACGTCTCCTCGTTCCTCACTCCAACACAGTAGCAAACCTGACAGAATACCGAACCTAAACAGTAAATGGCGCCCCTACTCTCCGTGGGTTTTTTTCCCGGTTTAGAAAGTGTTTTCTTTTGTTTTTTTCTATGGATCCCCTTGAATGATTGTGTTCGGTGTATCAAGACAGCCGTCCCCTGGAAAAGTACATCCAGGAGTTCCTCGCCTGCTCAGAGCGGATTTCCCTCAACTGGTGGACTGTTTCTGGGGTGGTTCGGATGAGGGGATCGCTCAGCGGATGCCACTGGCAGGGTCCAGGTGGAGGGTCCCATGCATCCTCAGTCAAGTCCACCGGCCGTGGCTCACTCAAGCCCGCCGGCCGTTCCAGTATCGTCTCCAGCCCCAGAGCTCACTCCAGTGTCGGCTCCAGCCCCAGAGCTCGCTCCAGTGTCGGCTTCAGCCCCTGGGTTTAGCCCAGTGAGGGCTCCAGTCCCCAAGTTTAGCCAAGTGAGGGCTCCAGTCCCCGAGTTTAGCCCAGTGAGGGTTCCAGTCCCCGAATTTAGAACAGAGAGGGCTCCAGTCCCCGAGTTTAGCCCAGAGAGGGTTCCAGCCCCCGAGTTTAGCCCAGAGAGGGCCCTAGTCCCTGAGTTTGGCCCAGAGAGGGTTCCAGTCCCCGAGTTTAGCCCCAGGAGAGCCACAGTTCCTGAGTTAGGCCTACGGAGGGCCTCTAAAGACTATATTCTCCCCAAGGATTTTTTGCTATAGTAAAGCGGCTCAAAAATAAATAAAAGGAGACCAGAGGAAGAAGAAGGCAAAGCTGGGCAGAACCAGAATGAATCAACAGTAAAAGAAAGGCCATTAAAAAGGAAGAATGATGAACGTTTGGAGGTAAGAGTATTTTCCATTCAGTGAAATATTTTGAACTAGTATCCTAATAGATGAGAAATTCAAAAATCTTTTAAGAAATTGTTTTAAAAGCATGCATCAGGTATTTTAAAATATGCACAGTGTATTTATGTTGATTTTATGTAATTAAAAATGACATATGCACTTTTTTAAAAATATTTTTTTACGAAAGTTAAGAATGAATGTACCTGAAAATATCAAATGGTGTAACTGCCAAAGAATGAGAAATATTAAATATTTTATCCACCTAGATGGCATGTAAGCTTACACATAGAAATAAATACTTCATTTTAAAATATCACACGAAAATAGATTTTATTGGAGTTATCTTTACATTTTAATGCATTTTTTTTATTTAAAAATGTTAAAAACCATGTTATTATACTAAAGTAGATGATTCGATTTTATTCCACATTAATTTTCCTGTATATAATTGTTGGAGCCATTTATTGTAAAGTTTTACTTGGCCATTGGGTGGCACTGTGACACAGTATAATTGTAACACCGGTGTAAGAGCCAGGTGTGTGCGTTGGTAATTGGGAAGCACACAGTTTTTGACCGCACGCCAGAGTAGCGTGCAAGATGAACTAGGATCTTATGCTGTGTCTTCAAGGTATGGACTTGGATTGTACATGTTAATGAACAAGGAACACTCATAGCAAGTTGTTTTGGAACCATTTTTATTGGAGCACAAATAAAGAAAGACATTTGTTTAGCATCTATTTCCGTTTGCACGGACTCTGTTTGTACGCGTTCTAGAACTTGCTCACTCATATTATCAACGGCAGCAGTTTACTGGAAAGCCGTTACAATAATTATATTTTTATGAAAAATATTGGTTACGCCAATTGACACAAACCAGTTACACCACCTGACCATGTTGCTTCTACAGCCAAAGGCTATTGTTTGTTGAAGAAATTGACAATGAAAATCAAGCATGACAGTTGGGCTGCACAATAAATCAGGCAGAACCTGTTATTGTCATGCGCATCTTGTCAGTGAAGCACGGTTCTGTGATCAGCAGTAAATCTCTGTGATCAGCAGAGAAACTCCAAATACACCCCGCAGAAGAAACCCAATCCCTGTAACGCTAGCTGAATAAACAGAAGGTTTAACTGCTTTCATTGATTCAACGTGACTAATAAACACACGACTAAGGCAATATGGTTTATCTGAGTTCTCATTATAATTATTATTATAGTGTTTATTATAATTATACAATAATGCAATGCTAATCGACATAGCCTTTATCACTGCTTAGAATACTATGAAATATGTTGCGTGCCTTATTCTGTGTAAGAAGCACATCATCTCACAGAAGGATTTATTTCAAACACTTGACTGACGTTATGAAGGGAGTTTGGAGTAAAAACTATTAAATGTTATTAAATGTGGTATTTTCACGAGCTTTCAGATGGAGCAGCATTAGTTCACTGAGAAGCTACACAAACAGCTGTCATTATCGCGAACGATTTCTTTGATTTTCATAATCGCACGATTATATAGTCTGCGTTGTTTGTGTGTGTAGCTTGTCAGTGAACTATGGCTCTGTGTAGTAAATGCTGCTCCATCTGAAAGCACGTGCTGGAGATTTACTAGTGTTTACAGAACCGGCTTTGCGCATGACAATCGCATTCGATTAATAATGCAGCCCTACATGACAGTCAACAAGTTCAGCTGAAGTGCTTTTTTTTTTTTTTCAATGCTGAAAAAAGATTGTAATTTTATTTTTCGTATTGTATTGTGGAATCTATTGGGGAAAAAGTGGTTCTGTTATATCATATTAATTAGGCTATAAAATATCAGACATTTAATGAATTGTATTTTACAGATGTCAATTGTCATCTTTGGTTAACATTTATCACTGAATTTGTTCAATTGTTGACACCCACCTCTTTCAGCTACATTATTAAACCATTTATGTATATATTACATTATATTATATGATACTATATTTTGCTTAAAGGGATAGTTTACCCAAAAATGAAAATTACCCCAACCTTAAAAACCTTAAAACACCCCCCACCTTAAGCCATCCTAGGTGTATATGACTTTCTTCTTTCAGATGAATACAATTGGAGTTACATTAAAAGTGAATGGGTGATATTCAACAGTCCATTAGAAGTCCAATAAACTCTGTCCGTTCATCATAAAAAAGTGCTCCACACGGCTCCGAGGGGTTAATAAAGACCTCCTGAAACGAATCGATGCACCTTTGTAAGCAAAATATCCATATTTAAAACTTTATGAACCATAATCTCTAGCTTCTGCTAACTGTTGTACGCGCGTTCACAAGAGAGTGCCGTTCAAGTGGATTGAATATCACCCATTCACTGGTATTATAAAGCTCGGAAAAAGCCAGGACATTTTTTTTTATATAACACCGATTGTATTCGTCTGAAAGAAAAAAGTCATATACACCTTGAATAGCTTGGTGGTAATTTTCATTTTTGGGTGAACTATCCCTTTAAAATGTTAAGTGACTGGAATAGAAATATGCATTAAAGCTAAACATTTCAAAAACACTAATGTTGTGCAACATAATTATTTTATCCTAGACTTACAGAGCTTTAATAATAAAGTTGTAGATAAAGCACCAGTTTCTCAAAAAATATAACATTAAACACTTAAAAATTGTTCCAAATAATAGTTTAGTTCATATTACATATTTTGTATTTTAGGCATTTAATCAAAAAACCCATAGACTTCAGGAAGATGGAACTAAAATTCTTGTTTCTGTGTTTTGGACTACAAAAATACGCCATACCTGTAGCTCTCAGCAGAATAGAAATGTATTATTCTGCTTGGCTGAAGAAGAAAAAAATCTATATAAAGGGCTAACTTGATTACAAATTATCCACATGCTTTAAACATGAAATTTATCATATTTGGATGGCAAAATAATAACATTTAAAAGGGTCATATGATGCGATTTCAATTTTTCCTTTCTCTTTGGAGTGTTACAAACTCTTGGTGCATAAAGAAGATCTGTAAAGTTGCAAAGACTAAAGTCTCAAATCCAAAGAGATATTCTTTATAAAAGTTAAGAGTCAACCACGCCTACCTAAAACGGCTCGTTCTAACACGCCCCACATGTCTACGTCACTATGTGGTAGTGCTGGGCGGTATGACCAAAAATGTATATCACGGTATTTTTCAAAATTATACCGGTTTCACGATACATGACGGTATTTTGTTTTCATGCATGACCGGGTGTTAACCATATTTTCTACTGATTGAGAGAGGAAATACTGCAGTATATTGACTTAGAATGCCCTATTTTACTGTCATGATGAGTGAATATTGTATATTCACCAAATGGTGATTAAACACAACCCCTTTTAATACATGTTAACCAGGAGTCACTCTCATTTATAATCGCGGCATCGTCTGATAAAATCAACATGCATCTACACTAAAGAGCGGCTATGCGATTGTTTTGGCTATATTACTTTTTTGTCTCATGCAGCGCACTGCCTGTGTCTGAGTAACAAACTAAAAAAACAACAAACAAAAAAGTGCATGTGATATTAACAGACGAACTACGCTCATATTTATAATTCCAAACAATCAGTAAGCGACAGGTGCTAGGAAACGCTGTTTTGTTCTCATTTATTGACGAGTCGGCTGCGGTGCGGCCAACTGAATGCGCTGCTTCTCTGCCGCTCACTGCACAGAACAGACGCCGAGAGAGCTGACACTTCTCCGGGAAAGTCAGACCTCACTCATGTTCACGGGACAGCACTGGCGAAATCTTCCAACTGAACCATAGCTAAGGTTTATCCTTACTTCCAGAGGATTCTGGGTAATGCAGTTCACACATTGTCATTCTTTTTTTTTTTCATCTGCCACATTCAATGTAAACGCTCAGAAGTATTAAAAGAATAGTTCAACAAAAAATGTAAATTATGTTATTACATCACCTTCATATAATTTCAAATGAAGTGAAGTGACATGTGGCCAAGTATGGTGACCCATACTCGGAATTAGTGCTCTGCATTTATCCCATCCAAAGTGCACACACAGTGAACACACACACACACACCGTGAACACACACCCGGAGCAGTGGGCAGCCATTTTTTGCTGCGGCGCCCAGGGAGCAGTTGGGGGTTCGGTGCTTGCTCAAGGGCACCTCAGTCGTGGTATTGAAGGTGGGAGAGAGCGCTGTACATTCAATCCCTGCCGGTACGAGACTCGAACCCGCAACCTTTGGGTTACGAGTCCGACTCTCTAACCATAAGCCACGACTTCCCCAAAGAAATCTGACTTTCTTGCGTGTAACACAAAATGAAAATGGAGATTGTGAATGTCCAAGCTGCTCTATTTCTAAACAATAAAAATCAATGTAGACTGTAGCTATGTTTCCATCCAAAGATGCTAATTTAATTTATGCGCAGAACTGGAATATCGCATAAAACATTTGCGAATAAAGCACCGTTTCCATCCATCGTCAAAGTCAAAGAGAACAAAATCGTCACCACCTGATAAACTGGCACTAAATATCTCTAAGAAAAGTAGGAGAAGCCACTGAATATAATAATTTTCATTAGGGATGCACCGAATGTTCGGCAACCGAAATTATTCGGCCGAAAATAGCAAAAAAATCTCTTTCGATGTTCGGCCGAATAATATGTACCGAACAATGACTAACGCGATCAAATAGAGGCACGCACTAATGCAGCAAACATGTCAGCAGCGTGAAAGTATTAAATCTATCAGAGAAAGACGCAGAAATCATTACAAGCACAAAGCACCGACAGTGAGAGACTGTTTAGTGCTGCATCACATGTCTCCGATGAGAAGAAGAGGTGGCTGATGCTGGTGGTTAGGTATGATGATTGAAATTGCGAAATGGCCTCAAATGAATAGTAAATAAACTGCAGAATGTTATATTTTCTAATGCACGCACTAATTGCATGTATTCTGCACGAGCTCGTGGCGCCAGGGTTCAAAGTCCAAAGCGTGAGGAAAAATCTGTGCTGAAACTGTTACTCGTCAGTTGCTCAGTAACATTTGTGTGAATTTTTTTTTTAAAGGCATGTGGCAATGTGATACGTGCGACAAACATCTTCCCAAATTTGTGATGAGAATCATTTATAAATCTGCATGCTGTTGTCAACAAAAAGAAGCACTTAAATCTTCCTGCGGGTTTCTGCCAAAATAAAAACTCATAACAAGTTTTTATAACAACATTCATAAATGTTAGTATTGTAATTTTACTGTTGTTCTATAAAATAAAAAAAGACAATAATAATAACTACCCTACAACAGCTCTATTAATACATTTATTATAACATTCACACATAGTGTTCAAATTGGGATCTGTAATATATTCTAATGCTTTAAAAGAAATCTCTTCTGCTCAGCAAGGCTGCCTTTATTTGTACAGTAAAAAATACATGCCTGATTCAAGTCTCAAAAATGGCCAAAAAATTAATTAATTTTAAGTTAAATTGTGCTTTGTTGGTATAATGTCTGCTAGAATGTTTAAAAAAAATTTTCAATGTTAAGTAAATATTTTTAAATTGTTGTTTTGTAATTAATTTTTTTTATTTGAAAAGCAGGACAAAACAGTAAAAAGCTAATTTTGGCTATTTAATTTATGCAATGGTGAAAATAAATGGCCAAAAAGGCCTACATGGGGGAAAAATGTGAAAAACCGTGTTCGGCATTCTGCCTGAATCAGTGTATCATTCGATCATTCATTTTTTGATTTAATATTGAAAGTAGAAAAATTTGAATACGGCTCTTTTTTCGTTTTTTTCCGAAAAACGAAAATTCAGCTTAAATTTTCATTTTCGTTCATGGGGGGAAAAATTAATAAACAGCTTAAATATTCGATTTCTACACATGGGTGGGAATTAAACGCCCCTTTCTGCTGATTGGTCAGCCGAAGATCAAACCGTGCCATCATCAGTTGTTCCACAGTATCACGCAGCAGAATAATAGTCCTCCACTGCTGCAGTTGTACGGAATAATAACCCATTTAATCAATTTCATATTTTTCTCATCAAACAGACTAATGAATAGCTCGACACAACTCGTACCTGGGCAGAGTCTAGACAGGTCTTTCTTCTGTGTAGACCAGCGGTTCTTAAAGTGATAGGGGGTCCAAGAAATAATTAGCTATAGCCTAAAGTATTACCAGACTGTAAAGTCGCTTTTTTTTATCATGATACATAGGCCTACTGTGATTTATTCCAAAGTGACTTATATGATGCGTTTAACGTCAAATAATCTAATTGAAGCCTTTTAAAAGACAAGTATTCGCTGTGGTTCATGTTTGTGGCATGCGCCAGAAAGATGCTCAAGGAGACCGAGATGCGCTAAAGCAGCGCATTCTGTTGTTCTCTTTATTTTTCAAAGGCATGACATTTTGTAGTTATTTTGAACATAACGTTACACAATTTAAAAATATAAATTTTTCCAATACGACTATAAATGACAAAGTATTAAGTTATTTCCCCTCGATGGGGAAAAAAATCCAAGTGAACATCAATCAGTACTCATTATTAATTTAAACTGCTTTAAATATGACTGCTGTTTATTTCCTGTGCACTTCAATACTGATTTGCGCTTGACTGTAGTCACGTCTGTCTGCTTATTGAGTTTATTTAACCCATCGCAATTTATTGGAACTGTGTGAACTAGAGTGACTACTCACCTTAATGTTGGTCTAAAGGCTTATTACTTAATAACACACAAATGTCCTGTTGGCACTTGCCAAATTAATGGCAGAGAAAGGTGACTTTTTTTTTTTGAAGTGGATGCATATCTGTCGTAAAATAATCATATGCATCTCGTGGTGTATATTCCAAACATTCTGAAGGTATACTGAGGGTTTGGTGAGAAACAAACCGAAATGGCAAGTTATTATATTTTATGAAAATCTTGCATTGCAGTGCGAGTGCATATCCTTTTGAGATATCAATTATAATACATTTGAATAAAACACAAGACTACATTTTATAACTCTAACAGTAGGCTATTTAATATCTGTTGTTCTCCGGTTGTCAGTCAGAATGACAGTTCTTGCGTGAACATAAGCCTATATATACCCAAGCCAATTTATTATTCTTTCCTTATTGTCTTAGTGTTTAAAATATTTATTTTGAAAAACGAATTAATGAATTAATTTCTTAATTAAACAAACAAACAAACAAACAGACTTACTGGTTGAGCAAGGTAGGCTATGACAGCTGTCATATCATACCCTGCCATGCCCAGCTGATGCAAAGAATAGAATTTATATCTACACAGAAGAAAGCCCTGTCTAGACTCTGCCCCAGTATGAGTTGTGTCGAGCTATTCATTAGCCTGTTTGTTTGATGAAAAAATATTAAATGTAGTTGCAATAAATGCTTAAGAATCCATACAACTGCAGCAGTGGAGGACTATTATTCTGCTGCGTGATACTGCGGAAGAACTGATGAAGGCACGGTTTGATCTTCGGCTGACCAATCAGCAGAAAGGGGCGTTTAACTCCCGCCCACATGTAGAAATCGAATATTCAAGCTGTTTATTCATTTTTCCACCCATGAACGAAAAACTAAAATTTAAGCTGAATTTTCGTTTTTTGGGGGGAAAAAAAAAACGAAAAAGGAGCCGTATTCTAATTTTTCTACTTTCAATATTAAATCAAAAAACGAATGATCAAATGATACACGGATTTGCCTTCGGCCCAGTGTTTCATTTTGTTGGACTTTGGCCAAGAATTTTCATTTCGGTGCATCCCTAATTTTCATATGTAATAAATTACTTGCGCTTCAGAGAGAGCAGACGTAACACAATAAATGTGGTCATTGCTTTTAGAGGTGGATGCCTGCTGTTTGGGAACGCAGTCATGTAGGACAGTAATTATACAGAAATACTTTCATGACAGACTTTGCTCAGGCATTTAAGAACGACCAAAACAACATATGGATGCTGTGAACGAGATCTTTTCCACCCATGAACGAAAAACTACAATTTAAGCTGAATTTTCGTTTTTTGGAAAAAAACGAAAAAGGAGCCGTATTCTAATTTTTCTACTTTCAATATTAAATCAAAAAACGAATGATCAAATGATACACGGATTTGCCTTCGGCCCAGTGTTTCATTTTGTTGGACTTTGGCCAAGAATTTTCATTTCGGTGCATCCCTAATTTTCATATGTAATAAATTACTTGCGCTTCAGAGAGAGCAGACGTAACACAATAAATGTGGTCATTGCTTTTAGAGGTGGATGCCTGCTGTTTGGGAACGCAGTCATGTAGGACAGTAATTATACAGAAATACTTTCATGACAGACTTTGCTCAGGCATTTCAGAACGACCAAAACAACATATGGATGCTGTGAACGAGATTGGTCTGCTGGTAGTCAAGTTATCCCGTCTCATAGCGCAAAGTCACATGACTTTTTCAATGCGCATGGAGGAATTTATTTGGTAAATGTGTTTCCATCGTAGTTTATGCATATTTTTTTCTTATCAGATAAAAAGTTTATCCTACTGAGTTGAGCGCATAAGTTTTTTATGCGCAGTTTTAGAATTCATGCGCATCTTGGCGTTTCCATCCAGCGTTTTTTATGCGATGATCCAAAATGCGCATTAAAAGAGGTGGATGGAAACATAGCTAGTGACTTAGATTTTAAATTGCAAAGAAAAGTAGTCCATGTGACTTTATATTTCAAGAAGTGGTCGGCCGATATGGATTTTTTGATTGGTGATGCTGATGTCTTGGACAGCAGGGTCACACTATTTAATATAAGGATAGCAAAAACACATTTATAAAAGTTTGTGAAAAGTTTTATTGAAAAATATAAACATTTTTGTTAACTCCCCTGTCAGGGTTCAATTAAAAAAGAGGAGCGCTCACGCGCACTCATTTTTATGCAGTCAACAACTGCACGCTTCTTTGTATACCTTGACTTTGTTTAAAAGATCTGCGTAATAATTTATTAGTCAGAACTGTTTAACAGAGACTGTAAACTAATGAAGACAAGGAGCTCGTGCACTCAGGTGCTGGTGGCCATATTGGCCAAACAAAAAATATTAGCCAATATATCTCCTATATCTTGTTTGAAAATATATTGATATGTCTTACAATATCATAAGTGTTAAGTGTTTCTAAATATGTTTCGCACATAAAGAAGTTCTGCAGATGTAGTGGTTAAAACAATGCTGCGTTCGCTTGGTACACCTGTACACTGAACCAAAGTTTTCGTTGCAAATACGTGTACAGTTACACCCCTATAAGTAGTCATAGCAACTTATTCTCTGAACATTATGTCCCAGGGTTAAGTTTACTTCAGAAGTATCCAGCGCATGCATTTTGTTTATTTATTTATCTTTTCAGTAGGATATTTTCTAGAAAATGTATTTCTATAATAAAGAAAAGGCAAAATGCCTAAAAATAAATAAACTACAGCCGTATTATCTTTTCAAGTACAGAATGTTTATATTTTAATAAAATAGACGATTTATGTTAATCAACCAAGAATTTGGGGTTTATGTGACGTAAAGTTAACCCTGATTTCTGGACTCTCTCCCCAGAAGCCTTGCACATTCATGTATTGCATAGAAAAGGTCGTCAGCTTGGACATTTTGTAAAACTACTGCTTGTGTGTTAAACTATTCGTATTGTATTCATCTTAATACACACAAAATAAGTACACACACATAACTGTCTGTCTGTCATCAGCTTCCTGGAAGGAGATGAGGATGAAGACACAAACACCATCTCTCAAGATGACATAGCAGATGCAGTTGACATCACTTCTGGGTCAAAGGTGATAGGTCAATGATTTGTTTTGAACACTCCTGTGTATTATTAACCTTACTGGATTTTGTAGAGCTTGAAAATCAATATGTTGAAATTAACCAAGTATGTGGTATCAATATCCCCTTTCACACCATTAAGAGATCATAAACAGATCTTTTTCAAAAGAATCAGTTCTGACAAATTTAAATTATTAGAAGTTGTCTTATTACCAGTAAATTAACAGCATATTGCTATGTTTGAGCAAGGCATGTGATACTATTGTATCATGTCTCGTGTTAAGAGCAAAAATATGTTCTGTGTGATCAGCGCTTTACAGCTGTCACTCAGATGTCAAAAAAGTTGTCAAATTGGGCAGTAGATGAAAGTAAAGCACTTCTCATCCAGGCGGATGAAGAAAATGGTGCAGCTTAATTTCCGATGATTAACATCACAGAGTTTCATCACAGTGTTTTGATGCTGATGTATAATGGTCTGGAACTGGTAAAAAGATGGTACGCTGTTGCTTGTGTTTACAGTATACGGATATGGTGTATTTACCAGAAAAGTCAGACTGGTAAATTTATGCTAATTTTTTGTGTTTAATGTGTGAAAGGGGCTAATAAATTTCACAGATGGAGGATTTCATTGTTCAGGGTTTCCGCGGGTCTTAAAGAAGTCTTCAATTTAGTTGTATCAAATTTAAGGCCTTAAAACGTCTTAAATTGAACAAGAAAGTATTAATTATGATTTCAAGAGGTCTTAAATTTGGGAATGGAAAGACATTTCAATTTTAATTGAAGTGATTAGTTTCTATCACTGCTGTGAACTGACCACAGAATATGAAGAATGTAAAAAATGATGATTTCAAGAGGTCTTAAATTTGGGAATGGAAAGACATTTCAATTTTAATTGAAGTGATTAGTTTCTATCACTGCTGTGAACTGACCACAGAATATGAAGAATGTAAAAAAAATTCAGGAGCTGTCAATCAGCACAATTAGAGATAATGTATCAGCACAATAACACGTTCAGCAAAATATTGTCTAATTATCGTTATCGATAAAGTCCCTGTAAATTATCGAGATATAATTTTGTCAATATCGCACACCCCTAATTTATGTTATTTAATTGATATAATAATGTATTGTTAATAATTGTTTAAATTAATATAGTAATTAATAGTTTTGACCCATCCATTTTCTTTAAAATGGTTTAAAGGCTGAATTATAAAGTTTATCATTTTATAAAACTTTTTGTTTTTGTGAAAACTTGTATCTGAACTGTAAAATATGCTTTGTACAGTAATTTTACAGTTTAATATGGTACTATAGGCATTGCCCTACCCCGCTCATATGGTATTAATTTTATTTGTGCAGGTCTTAAATTTGAGCTTAAAAATCCTGCAGAAACCCTGATTGTTGCTTTGGGATTAATATTAACATTAATGTTTTAATAATTGCAAAAAGAAATATAATTTTTGACCAGTCAATCAGACATTTTTTTGTGTGTGCGCCTCTATCTAATTTTAAGATGATTATTGTGTGCTTTCAGGGCATCCAAGATGTAGGTGAATTTTTTTCTTTAGCGTAACAATAAATATGATTTTTAGCTGAAACCATGGGCCTTGCCACATAGATTTTGTGTACAGTATAAGAATTCAGTCATCCAGGTCATTAAAAAAGCACAGGGAAAGGCTTACATGAACAGTCTGTCCTCCTTAGATTTATCAGTGGAAAATGTGTTGCATTATTTGTTGTCCAGGTAACTACTCTTGTTTTTGAACTATATTTAATGTGGATCACTGAGCCGTACACAGCAGTGTTTTTTCCCTCTTGTAAAAGCATTGCAGGAGTCTAGAGATATGTAACAAACTTTTTTTTTTTTTGAATATTCAGAAAATTTACTGTTTCTGCTTGTTACTACACATCTGTCAAAAACGATATGTTTAAGGTGAGCAAACATATCTAAATGGAAGTGTAAAAAAATATTTGATTCGTTTACAGACCTTACCAACTACATGTTTTTATGTCCTGAATGAGTCTGTGTGTGATTAATTGTATTTAGCATGTTCCACTGTTTTTTTTTCTTTCTCTCTCCCTACAGTACTTCAGCTTGCATCTTTCCCAGTTTGGCCCATATAGGCTTGACTACAGCAGAACAGGACGGTATGTCCCAAAGAATTATATATTTATTAAAACAGACAATTTTAGTTATGGCCTAATACAAATATAGCATTACATTAATATTATAGAAGCATTTGAACTTTCTGCTTGATACTTCAGTTCAGAATGGATGGATTAATAGATGTATTATCAGGTTCAAGGGGTCAGTAACAAATAAGAGCCTTTAGAAATCTTGTGTTAAAAATGTCAATTTTTCAGTGTTCTTGTTGGTGAAAACCTCTTATGTATTTATATAATTAAAAACGCAGGTGTGTTATATAACAACTCATTGTTTTTATGTCAAATGTTCCTCATCAAAGCTTAGGAATTTGTTAAAATAGAATATTTATGCTTTTGTATTGAGAGATCATTTATACTGTCAACATTCTTTTTTTTTTTATAGTCCACATTTACACATCTCAACCCAATTTGCCCCTTTCACATCATCATAAGAGACATTCTGACATTGGTATATTGTTTGTCTCACTTGTGTAATAATATCCTGACAGTTGGTTTTGTTAGCACTTTGTTTGGATTATACTCACTGTGAACAGAAATAGATTCCTGCTGCTCTTTACACATTCTGTACACCTTCTGTATTATAAATTGTGGAACCTAGTAATTACACAAAGGCATTTTGAAACCATTATAAATGTTAGCAAAAATTCCTGTGATTAGATATTTTTATTGACAGACCTTTTTTTAATTTTTATCCTGTATATCACTGTTTTCTTGTGCTTTACTATTTAAGAACCTTGTTAAAAAAATTTAAATGTCCTGACATTTACATAAGGATACCTTGGGCATCTTAATCCAGACATTGAAAACTCATTGTATGCTCATTATAGGGAAAGGTTTATTGAAATCATTGTATGAATTGCATTTATTAAAAAATTACAGATCCATAAAAATGTATTTGTCTGCAACAGGCATCTACTAGTGGGTGGAAAGAAAGGTCATGTGGCCTGCATCGGCTGGCAAACCAAAGACCTCATGTGTGAGATGAATGTCATGGAAACGGTGAATGATGTCAAGTGAGTGCACGTTCATTAAAACATATCTTTTGATTTTCTGGCACACATTCTTCACATGTTGTAGCAGCCATTATCACTGGAACAAAGTCCTAGCTTTCAAATTCGGTCAGTTTTATTATGAAATTGTGTTTAATTGTGCACTGTGACAGATGTTTTAGCATAAAATTAACATGATCTTTATCTTTGTATGTTAATCTTTGTATGTTATCTTTGTATGTTAAAAGATACAGCACAACTTACTGAAATGCGTCATGTCTCATGTAATCACTCAATCTGTGTTTAACTGTGGAAAGACGTCAGTGAACCCGTTTGTACAGAATGTCACGCAGCGTTGGATTTGCCTAAGAAAAGTCATTCAGTAATAAACGCGTTATTCACTTAAGCTTGGGATACACTTAACAGCTAACTGAAACATTCTTAAACTGGTCTCAGTGCACTTAAATACTGTTTCCAGTGATTGGAGCAGATGCTAGTCTTTGAGGAGCACAAACCTAATTACTAATCACAAATCTAATGGAGTCAGTCCACTAGACAACACACTTAACAACTGGTGTGAGTCACAACTGGACACATTCTTACCAAAAATCACAACTCAAATGTGCAAGATCTTGTACCAAAACAAACATCAATGTCAGCAGACAGCTTTGCTTTGCAATTTGTGCAGAAAAATCCCATTGTATCGTTTACCTGCACTCCCACTACACCGCAGACAACACAGGTTTTATTTAATTATTGAAATGTTTTATTGGATTATTGAATACTCATTATATTTTTACTTGTTCTTCAGTATTTAATCAGGGTGTCCGCAGGTCCTTAAAATCTCTTAAATAACGTTTTCCTAATATAAGGCCTTTAAAAGTCTTAATGTCTTAAATTCGGATTCGATGGGTCTTAAATATTTTTGGTCACATTAAGCTAAAATATCTTCAGTCTGACGGACCTAATGACTTTACAATCATTGGACAGACCGAATATTTTTTCTTCCCCGCGGTAAATTACTGCATCATCAGAGAGAATTGAATCTGGCAAAATATCAGTGCTGGTACTACTAGATCTCAGTACTGTGTTTGACACTGTCGGGCCTAAATTAGCAGAATACAGAATACAAGCTCGCGCTGCTGAGGATCACTCTGTTTGTCTCTTTGTGAGAGACTTCAGAACAAATGAGCGTAATCGCACACACAAACTCGGAAGAAACAGACTGAGGTAAAAATTCACAATGTCTAGTTTATTCATAACATGATATAGTTAAGTAACACCATGATGTAACGTAGTTTGTAGGTCGGGAAGAAGGAGGCGGGAACCGGCGAACACTCAAAGAAAACTTTAATAATAAAATAAACACAAAATAGCGCGACAGCCTCTCGCGGACGACTGCCGCGCACAAACGAAACCAAATCACAAAATAAAGTCCAGGCCTGGTCCTCTCTCGTCTAACACGGTCGTCTAGCCTTTATCCTTCCGGAGCTCCTCCGTGAGACTCGAGACCGGTGAGTGGTGCAGGTGTCGCGCATTAGCAGTGACTCCACCGGCCTCGCTCAGTTCCCACGGCTCTCGGCCCCGCCCCTCTCGTCACACATGACAAGTGAGCTATTTTGCTCAATATTCTCACGACGCAAAAAACAACAACATTGAAAACACCTACAGAGTGCACGCATTACGTGAAGTCTAGTGCACGTGCGCATTTACAGTGCGCTCTTTCACTGCATGATTCAGTCTATAAAAATACATTCAGAATGATCACAAATTCAAGACATGGGGGCAGAAAATGTGTATATTTATACCACTTCTTATAATCAATTTCACACGGAAGAGTGCTTTTTTTCTCCAAAAATGACCATGTACAAATGTAATATTGATTTTTTTTTTACAACAGTTCGATAAACTAGAAGTTTTATTAAGAGACTTACGTTTTAGACACCATATTGCCTGTTTTTGCACTATTTCGCCAACAAAAATGATTCCAAACAAAACCACAGCGCTGTTTTGCGTCTTTGAGCAACATGACGGTGTTTCGTTCCTGAATGAATCATCCGTTTAAGATTCCAGCATGATAACACACTCAATCAGTTGAATGAATGACTCAATGACTCACTCATCAAGTGACTTACCATCACTTACTGGTAGTTTAGTTGAGAAGTATGTTGAAATGTATGCATTTTTCCCCTCAACATTTCTTATTTGTAAATTCATAAATGCATTTAAAACATTAATCTCATAGCATTATTTATTGCAGTTGTAATTATTGTTATTTGCAGTGTAAATTATTTAATCTGACTGGTAGCAGCCCTATAGTGTATATTGAATTTGATCAATTGTAATAATTTGGTTAAAAATAGACCTTTGTAAAGGTAAATAAAAATATGCCGATTTAAGTATGTAAAAGCTGATAGAACACTGATGAAAATATTGCTTCAGAATAAATTGTTTACTCCACCAAAAATCTCAGTGATGCAGTTATTTTGCAGGGATATTTTGTATGGAATAATGTCTGCTGACATTAAAAGTTCACTGTATATCATAGTAATAAATATAATTTATTACAGCAATGATATTTTGTTTTCTTTTTCATTTAAACACATTAAATATTACATATATGTATGTAATAAAATGTGTATTTCCATTACAGGTTTAGGTCTTAAGTTTCATATAAGATGGTATTAAAAAGGTCTTAAAAATTCTTACATTTAACTTGTTCATGTCTGCAGAAACCCTGTTAATGTATATTTGATTACATCCATAAGAACCAGTTTTAATGACAGCCACCGTTAAAATGTTTATATTTAAAAGAAAAAAAGAATTGGAGTTAGGGTTGCAAAGGGGTGGAACATTTCCAAAAATCCCTGGAATAATACAAAAAAATCCTGGAAAGTTTCCGAAATTTACTGGACTTTTTCCACCTTTTTGCAACCCTAATTGGAGTAGAAACACGGTTATTGCTATTTTGCGCAATTTAAATGTTTGTATGCAAGTAGTTAATTTTAACCTTTGATATTATAGTAGTGTACTGACAGATTCCCCTATAAAGTTCACAGCATTTGTGAGAAAAATTTACATGATCTGTGCCTGATACATATCCAAATTAAGTGATAGCAAATTGAATCAAGATCAGTTGGATCAAATTGCAAGCTCATGAACTGAAAGAATATCAGATTGTGTGTATATCATGATGTATTGGTATCAATCAATATTGCAACTTAAACCTTAAATGCATAGCTGCATAACAAAAATGCCAAGCCAGGCAGAACAGGCTGTGGTTGTAGAATTTCTTGAGAAAAATGTTTTATTTGACGGTCCAGCTGAGAGTCAGTCTAGTTTTTTTGTCAAAGAGTTTCAAATACTTTATTTAGGTTTTTTTTTCACAATACCTTCCTATCCTTCACCCCTGTGCTTTAGTAATGAGTAATTGTCTCATTGTGGTCTTATTTAAAGCTCACTCTCTGCGCTCTTCATTCTTCCTCCAGGTGGCTTCATACAGAGGCCATGTTTGCTGTGGCACAGAAGAGATGGCTCTATATCTATGACTCTAAAGGTGTGGAGCTCCACTGTGTGAAGAAGTTCAATGATGTCTTAAGAATGCAGTTTCTGCCCTACCACTTCCTACTCGCCACAGCGGTGCGTCAACAAGTGCTTTTGGCAAAACTTTGAACTTAAAAGTTTTAACACTGCAGCCAATTCCAAATACAAATGAGAATTGAAAGTAATGTAAAAAGTTCTGTTTATTAGCGTCTTCATGTCAATATCCAGCTTATCTACATTGTTTGCTATAGTAACTGATATAGTACTAGGGGGTAGATGTTAGTGTAGAAAGAGAACACAAACAGGAAATTTGACTTCTAGTCATGTCGTTTGACAGCACTACTCAAAACCAATGATCTGATTGACTTTTAATGTTGGCATGCAGTGTCTTTGACTGAATTACCATAATCAATTATGAAATGTATCTTGAGAAATATGGCTTTTAACTGCAATGTGTCAAAAAAAAAGGAAAGAAAAAAACTCTCCAAAGAGTGTACTGTCCTTTGGCATTTTTAATTAGATTGACAAATGGGAAAAAGAGAATAAAACAACCAAGAAAAGCAATTGGCAAATGCTTTTTTTTTTTTTAAATGTGCCTTTGAAAAATATTTATTAATTCACTATTCTGTTTTAGAGCATAAACTGATTAGATCATTTAAAAAGTGATTAATTTCCATTTTTATGGTTTGAATTATTTAATTTATTGTTACTTATTCAACCTTTTCATGGTGACACATGAAAAGCCCAAGTGTTTGTGCATGAAAAAGTAATTACTTTCCCAATTGTATCTCATCCTTAAAACAGTTTTTCCATATGACAATTATAATTTCACCTTTCAGAGTGCCACAGGGTTTCTGCAATATCTGGATGTATCGGTTGGTAAAGAGGTCGCAGCCATCTGCACAAAAATGGGACGGCTAGACGTGATGGCACAGAATCCCCATAATGCAGTAATTCACCTGGGCCACCCAAATGGCACCATTAGTCTGTGGTCGCCCAACCAGAAAGAGCCACTTGTAAAGATGTTGTGTCATCGGGGCGCTGTTCGTTCCTTAACAGTGGATAAAACTGGCACGTGAGTATCACAAAGTCCTGGGGGGATTTCATCAGTGCCGGGGGACCGGCAGTCTCAGACCGGTTGTTACGTTAGAGCTGATGGATGACTAACCCCACCCACCATTAATCCTTACCTGGCGGGGGGGGGGGGGGGGGGGTTCACTTCAGTACCTGATTTAAGGAATTAGACCAGCAGTCTCAGAGGGATGTTACAGTAGAGCTGACGGATGACTCGAGTTTGGCCATTTTTAAGAACGAACAAAAAATCCCAGTGTGAACATTACTTAAAAACCGAGACATTAATTACGTTTTTTTATATGTACTTACAGATGAAGATTGTTGTTGGCAATTATGTGATTTGGACGTTGGCTCTTCAGCATGTATAAATAAAAAATTTTGAGGTGACTAATAACATCAAAACTAGGGCTGTATGACATTTTATGATATTTAGATTTTCTGAGATTATTGCAATATGACTGAATACAAGAATTTTCACCAGATTGAATAGCTTTTTTGGATAGAATGACTCATTCTCGACTTAGCAGGGTGATTGTTTTGAGAAGTAAAATCATAGAAATACTAGATAGAAAGCTAAATACATACATGCATACAAAAGGTTTTTACTTGTCCTGTCAAAATTTTCACTGGCCCAGCCACAAGGAAAAAAAGAGAAGAAAATACGTTTCTATCAATATATGCAATTTCTTAGACATGAACAAACCATGATTTAATTTTACCCTCAGAATGAGTATTTAATGAAGCTATGAGGCTAATTAAATGAACCATTTAGCGACAATTTGGAGGTATTACTGGTGTTTCTTGTGTTGGGGATTCTCTTCTGTGGTTTGTTGATTCTGTTCACGTCTGGAGTGACGTCTTGGTGGAAAGCCAGTCACAATGGACAGTTGGAGACACCGCTTTGCAGCAAATCTTAACATAGAAAACAAGACTCTTGTTGGGAAAAAAACAAGAAAAGAAAGTGAGATGAGAATAGTTAGATAGCTTGCTTGTTCATGTTGCTGGATTAGACCTCTCCACTTATGATTTAATGGGGTCCTAAAACTAATTACACATTGTTTTAGCTTGGGGTGTTATGTTTCTCCTCCCCTTGCATAAATCAGTCTTCTTAGTCACATGGTTCCTAGTTTTCCTGCACTTGTAGAATACAACTTAGACATGACTTCTGTAATGAGAGTATGATTCAATATATCAAGAATTGATTGATATCAACAATTGAGAAATAAATTATAATTCACACCCATACCAAACATCACATACTTCCTATAAACCTACCTACGTACCTATGTATTTTATGCTATACATTCATCCATATGTGCCAAAAAGTAATAAAAACATAAACATTACATTCTAAAACCAACTAAACAAAACAAAAAATACTGGTAAGTATATAACTGTAAAATGCAATTTATTCACTGGGTAAAACGTTTTTTTTTAAGGCTTTAAAAAGCACCTGTGAAAGCACCAGACAAGCAATCCGTGTTAAACTATGTTTATGAGTTTGTTTGAAATGCTTCATACACAGCGGTTTTTATGTTTAGGGCAACTTGGGTTGTGCACTTGTGTCATGTGCTGTATTTTGTCCATATGCATTCTTTTTTTTTTATTGTTGAATTTGTTGCAGCCCTAGAGCATACCTTACTTTCCCTTTATTTATACCAGTAAGATTATTTGTTTATTGCAGGTACATGGTGACGTCAGGTCTGGACAGGAAGCTAAAGGTGTATGATATCAGAGCTTTTAAACCTCTTCACTCCTGTTTCCTCCCTGCTGGAGCCTCTTGCTTATCTCTAAGCCAGAGAGGACTACTCAGTGCTGCTACTGGAGATATTGTACAGGTAGTGTACATATACACACAAGTAAAACTTTCTGGATAAACATTTGTTGTTGTTGCTTGCAAAGAACATAGTCCTAACCCAACCCTTTAAAGGGGGCATGAAATGGACAATCAAAATGTTCTTGATATTTACAAAAAAGACGTTACTCTATAGTAAAAACATACTGCAAGTTTCAGAACTCAAAACTAACTCTGCAGTGTAAAATAAGAAATATTCTTTTCTAACTGCACCTCCAAAAACTTTGCATAGCCTTTCTAAAAATCAGAAAGTTTAAATTAGAAATGTCCTCTGAGGCAAGGCAGATAAGTACATTTATTTTTATGTCAAACCAGCGTTTAATGCTATTAGGACACCAAGCGTATCATTGTTTGAGTGTTGTTAATACAATGGGTTCATACCGGAGTACAAGCAGCATCTTTTGTAATATGACAAATAATACTTTTAAAAATGTATATACCTTAAATTAAGCAAGCAAAAGCAATTGCCATGCTGAAAAACACTGTTGAAGTCGTGGTTGCGTTGTTTCAATTTCTTACTTTTGGATCTGGCTCAAACATATATGGCTCAGTTCATAGTGATTGCCATCTGGAGTATCAAAACACATGACATGCTGTAAAGGAGGGCGTGAAAACGGTGCAGTGAAATTAGCCAATCACAGTAGTGGTTGAGTGTTTTTCACAGATTGAGATGAGGAAAATGATCTTTTTACAAATATTGGAGTTTTTTAAAAAGAGAACTTTATAAACTAACCTTGAGATACATAAAAATCTGAAACTGCATTTCATGACAGATCTTCTTTATGCACCAAGAGCTTGTAACACTCCAAAGAGAAAGGAAAAATTGAAATAGCATCATATGACCCCTTTCACCCATCCCTGAAATCAGACCAGTCATTGTAATTATACCGAAACAGAAGCAGTGGGAAATTAATGCTTCACAACTGGCATTAACCTTACAGGGATATTGCCCCCCAAAAATAAAGAATGTCATCATGTACTCCCTCTCAGGTTGTTCCAAACCGAGTTCTTCCTTCTACTGAGCACAAAAGAAGATATTTTGAAGAAAGTTAACCAAACTTTCTTCAGTTGCTAATCAGTAGCATTTTTTCCCTATGCTTTGGAAGTCAATAGCTACTATCAACATGCTTCAAAATACCTTATTTTGTTTAACAGAAGAAAGAAACTTGTACAGGTTTGGGACAACTTGAGGATGGGTTAATGACGGCTCATTGACGATACATTGATGTGTAAAGACACAAAACGATCAGTCTGTACGAGAAACTGAACAGTATTTATATAGTTTTTTACCTCTGATGTACAGCAATGTCTGAACTGTCCTGAGTGTGTTCAACAGCCAGCGAACACAACACAAATGGACCATTGACACTCATTGACCATTGACACTCTATCTACAATCTCAATTGGGAGTGTCAATGGTCCATTTGAGAGATAGGTGGCGGTAATGCACTTATAAGTCTGCGATCCGCCGTAAAGCAAGAAGAAGAAGATGCCTCAAGCGCAGGCTGAAGAAGAAGACGCGAGCGCACTCAGGACAGTTCAGACATTGCAGTGCATCAGAGGTGAAAAACTATATAATACTGTTCAGTTTCTTGCACAGACTGATCGTTTTGTGTCTTTACACATCAATGTATCATCACGAGCCGCAGTGTTTAATTTGGTTTTGTATGTGTATGTTTTTTTGACTCTCAAAGCCGTGATTCCCATTCACCCATTATAAGACTGACAGACTGCATCGGTTTGTGTTAAAAATCTTTGTTTGTGTTCTACTGAAGAAACAAAGTCACCTACATCTTGGATGCCCTGGGAGTAAACAAATAAACATCATATTTTTATTTTTGGGTGAACTATCCCTTTAAGATCGAAAAATAACACATATATTGTTTGAAATGTTATATAGATAATTTGAAAGAAACTGCATAAAGTACATCACGTATGCTTGCTCTCCTGAAGATGCACACACGAGTTGCTGTTAATAATACTTAGAAGTTTTGTACACCGCAATGGAATATTGTAATATTACAATATTGTTAGAGTTACTATAACTATTATTACAATAATAGAGCTGTATGTTTGTGTCCATAGGTTTTTCAGAACATTTTGGGAAGCAGTCCTGTATCCAAACCCTACATGGCTCACCACCTTCGAGGGCAAATTTGGGGTCTTGCGTACTGCCCCTTCGAAGATGTTCTGGGAATTGGACATGGAGAGGGCTTCACCAGCATGATTGTACCAGGTAAGACAGGAACACATGTTCACACAAAGGCAGGAGTGTGTCTACGTGTTGGCCAGGGGTAGCACCGGCCCCCCCTGAAATTTGGCTGGCCACCCCAGGTGCCCCCCCTACCAAATGTCTTGCCATAGGCTTGTTTTTAGTAAATTTCTAATTTAAGCCGGTTTCTATAGTGTGATCTTAATGACAATGTTGAGAGCGCATAATGTTACGTGATCCATGTGCGCGAGGACGAATCTCTCCACTCCCAAGCGGATTTCCTTCATTCAGCGACTGTCCCCCCCCGCCATTTAAAATGCTCTAGACACGCCCCTGCACAAAGGACATGTTCACTCCTTCGTACCAGGGGTCTACATATAGTCAGTTGTGTTTCTTGGATGATGGACAAATGAGCTCTGTTCCAAAACCCAGTGAGGTACCTGGATATACTGTAAGACCTGTTCACACTGCCAGTGAAACACAGCAACAAATATGATCCCATTTGACACAAACGACATTGTCCATTGCTGTCAGGATGTAGCAAGATAGATAGATGTGCATATAAAGTGTTTATGAGAAGTGTGGGAGTATTATTGTACTTACTGCAAGACATGGAGGCGCCCGCGCAATCCCTTGCATTTTTCCCCGCGGAAAGAACTAAGAATAGGTTACTCCGTCATTTTTGGTCATAAGAGTAGCCTAATAGGCTACATCATTCGTAAAAAATAAAAACTGTTTCTGCTTTTATTTATGTACACTCATAATTAGAGCCTGACCGATATATCGTTTTGCCGATATGAGCCTGTCGCCGATATATCGGTATCGGCGAATGTGCCGCCAATATGAATTTTTTTTTTTTTACAAAACATATAACGCAGAAAAAAAAATTGGAATTGTGTAATTACTTAGTTTGTCCAGCAGAGCGAGCTCCATTGTTTGCTACTGGCGACCTGGATGAAACGCTTTTGAAGCTTAAGTCTATGGAAAACCATTGAAACTGTGAACGGCCATCTCCGTAACGGAAATCCGCACCAAATTCGGGGGATCCCTTCAGCTCCAGGAACCCCCTCGAACACGAATTGAGTGTACGTCTAGAGGCCTGCTTTCGAATGAGACCACCTCCACGTCGAAAGGTTCGGGAGTTACGGGTGGTTAAATTCGCGGTCCGGCGCTGACCGATCAAGCAGAACCGGCTGGTTGACAGGATGAGGACTTTTGACGGACGCGGAATTGGAAGCAGCGTGTATTCAGATCGGAGCAACGGAAAAGTTTGATTGTGATTCAAATAATTCATACTGAGTTTTGATAAGCACAAGTTATAATATTAAGTAGAAGAAAAGAAGGGGAAATCGCCGAAAAAAAAGAAGTTGGATCAGAAACAAAAGATAGGATTGATGATTCAGAGATTGAAGATCAAATGGAGACAGGTTGGTCACAGGTAGAAGGAGGGAGAATAAAAAGTGTAGGAAAAACAAATAAAAAGAGGAAGAAAGATAATGAAGGGGATTCAGTAAGTATAGATGAGGATAGTGAAAGGGAATTAATAAGTGGAATTTATTCATCCTCATCTATTGGACAAAAGAGAGGAAAGAGATAATATAATGGATGTCCCATTTGGAATGACGGAACTAAAACGAGCGCTGAGGAGAATGAGAGAAACTACTCCTGGTCAAGATGAAATCAGCTATTATATGATCAAGCAGTTAAGTGAGGAATCATTGAGAGTAATGTTAGAATTCTATAATAAAGTTTGGGAAATGGGGGTGCTACCACAAAGTTGGAAAGAGGCACTGGTATTGCCAATAAGGAAACCAGGGAAGGATCCAAGTAAGCCGGCTAATTATAGACCAATAGCCCTTACATCTCATGTAGGGAAAGTGATGGAGAGAATGATAACGGACAGACTAGTTTATTTTTTGGAAAAAGAAGGAAAATTATCACCTTATCAAAGTGGATTTAGGGTAGGAAGAGGAACCATGGATCCGGTTATGTGTTTGGAAGCGGAAATAAAGAAGGCTCTATCAAATAAAGAATCAGTAACTGCTGTGTTTTTCGATATTGAAAAAGCCTATGACATGTTATGGAGAGAGGGTTTGATGATAAAATTGGAGGAGATGGGGGTAGGGGGAGAATGTTTAATTGGATTAGTGACTTCCTTAAACAAAGAGTAATAAGGGTGAGAGTAGGAGACTATCATATCAAGGAGTAATAGAAAATGGCACTCCTCAGGGAAGTGTAATAAGTCCAGTGCTTTTTATAATAATGATAAATGATATGTTTAGTAAGGTGGATAGGAGTATTGGAAGACCACTGTTTGCAGATGATGGGGCTTTGTGGTTCAGAGGAAGAAACAATAAGTTCAATATGGGGAAAATGCAGAAGGCTGTGGATGAGGTAGTTAAATGGTCATATAAATGGGGATTTAAGTTTTCTGTGGAGAAGTCACAAACTTATATTTTCTAACAAGAAAGTAGACAGTGAATGGAAGTTAAGAATATATAACAAAGACATGGCACGAGTGACATCAATTAGATTCCTAGGAATGTGGCTGGATACTAGACTTGCATGGAAAGAACATATTGATAAGATAGTGAGTAAGTGTAAAAGAGTTTTAAATGTAATGAAATGTATGGCAGGACAAGAGTGGGGAGCAGATAGAGGGGCGCTTCAAACAGTTTATATAGCAATGATAAGATCTGTGCTAGATTATGGAAGTACAGCATATGGGCTGGCTGCAAAATCTCAGTTAGAGAAATTGGACCGAATTCAAGCGCAAGCATTGAGAATTTGCTGTGGGGTATATCCAACAACACCTATTGCAGCAATGCAGGTAGAGATAAGCGAAATGCCGCTTTATATTAGAAGGCAACAGTTAATGGCTGTATATTGGACAAATCTTAAGAGTCAGGATGAAATACATCCAACAAAGAAAATATTAGGAATATGTTGGGAACAAGGAATGAATAAACATAAGAGTTTTGGATGGGTTGTAGAAGAAGATATTAAGGAGATGGGGATAAACAATTATAGATGTATACCAAGAGTAATGTATCCACATAACCCCTTATGGATTCTTCCTCAACCAGTAGTAGATATAACATTACTGAAGATAAGACAGAGAGAAGGAAGTAATGAGAGCAAAGGAGTATTTAGGGCTTATGTATGGAAATAATATACGGATATACACAGATGCCTCCAAAAAAGAGGGAGGGTAGGAGTGACAGTTAATGTGCCAAAGTTACTGATGAAGAAAAAAGCTAGAATAAGTGATCAACTGTCAGTATATACAGGTGAAGTGATGGCTATTCTGGTAGCACAACTAATTAAGGATAGAGAAATACAAAATGCGGTCATTTGTTCAGATTCATATTCAGCAATAGTCAGTATTGATAACCAAAAATCAGAGTCAAGGCCAGATTTAATTATGGAAATCCTTCAAAATCTCTTTGAGTTAAAACAAAGTAGAATAGAAGTACAGTTTATGTGGGTTCCAGCCCATGTGGGAATTAAAGGAAATGAAGAAGCAGATAAATTAGCTAAGCAAGCAGTAGATGATGAAATGGTAGAAATTGAGCTATCACATAGTATAAGAGAAATAAAAACAGTAATAAAGGAGAAAGTGATTAAAAAGAGGCAACAGTATTGGGATGATGAGACTAAAGGGAGACATTTATATGCAATACAAAAGAAAGTGAGAAAAGGTAGAAAAAGTGGGAGAAATAGGAGGGAGGAAAGTGTAATTACAAGACTAAGAATGGGACATACAGGTTTGAATAAAACATTACATTTAATATCTAAGTATCCAACGGGATTGTGTGAGAAATGTGGACAGAGTGAAACTGTAGAACGTGATTATTAATTGTAAGGGTTATGATGAAGAAAGAGAAGTACTAAGAGAAGACGTATGGAAGAATGAAGGAAAAGAGTTAACATTAAAGAATATATTAGACTCAGATATAGGAAATAGTACGATAAATGTGTTGTTTCAGTTTCTGAATAATACAGGTTTAATGAAGAGAATGTAGGATAAGTATATATAGAGAGGTAGAAGATGCTGATATAGTGTGGGTAGAAGGGAAAGTATATCTGAAGGTTAAATAAAGATACAGATGGATATTTGGATTTAAAGAGAATTGGGGGGGGGTTAGAAAATGTTAAGAGATAGAGGAAATGTTTCTGATCCAAGCTACCTGATGATGGCAGTAATGCACTGTTAAGTGCGGTTGCCAGTAAAAGGAAGAAGACCGATCAAGCGATCCCGGGGGCTACCGACGCGCGGAGGGTGGCGTTTGAGAGGGTTCCTCGAGCTGAAGGGATCCCCTGAATTTGGTGGAGATCCGCCGGCGCGTTTGCGTGTGCACCAGTCAACACTTTCACTTCAGCAAGGTCTCTTGTTCAGGCAGCAGCATTCAAGCGTGGTCTTATTCGACCGTAAGTGCCCTGCGAAGTGGACTTCACATGAAATTCCGCCATGATTCCAGTTCCAAGTGAACGTACACGTTACATTCAAAGGGCATTAAAGTGTGCGAGACGTGAATTTATATCTAGGGATGCACCGAATGTTCGGCAACCGCAGTGTTGAAGCATTTAAACTGTCGGAGAAAGACGCAAAAATCATTTTCAAGCACCGACAGCGAGAGACTGTTAAGGACTGCATCGCATGTCTTCAATGAGAAGAGGAATGGGTGATTATGGCTGGTTACTGTATGATTATTGAAATGGCCTTAAACAGTTAGTAAATAAACTGCGGAATGTTGTTTTCTGATACACGCGCGCATTGCATGTATTCTGACAGCGCTGCACGAACTCGCAGCAGATCTGCTTGTTAACCAGGGTTCAAAGTTCAAAGCTAGGGATAAGGCGTATCGATCCGAAGTATCGATATATCGATACTCAAACAAAAAATATCGATACTAAGGTGCGTTTTTTTACCAGTGGTTTTGTTTATTCAACAAAAATAATAATAATGCATACAATATGCATTGAATTGGACGAATAACCTTTGTAAGCAAGTAATTGTGTAA